AGTGTGTGTGTGTGTGTGTGTGTGTGTGTGTGTGTGTGTGTGTTCGTTACCCTCCTAACGAAAACTCCGTACCTTAATTTTTTCCTTTTTCTTTTTCACGAGGGGAATTCTTCGAAACGGAGACCGATCCCTAGGGATTTTTTTCACGATTTCTGCGAGCGGAGAGGAGGACTGTTCGAATTTGATGCTCGAAGACGCTTAAAGGGGGATCATGATGGATCGTGGAATTGTCCACGATAATATTCACTTCTGTCAACGAAATACGGGGGATCGTTTTACCCGATTCTCTGCCAAACGAAACCGGAGCTTCGTTCGGCTCTCCTTCCCCTCCCCCCTCCCCCCCCTCGTTTTGTTGCTTATTCAATGGAGGGGCAGAAAAGAGAAAAGGAAAAAGTAGGAAAGTATTATTTTCGCCAACGAGGCTGTAAAATAACTTTTCGCGGATTATCAACGGCCGCCGGCCTATTTGTCGACCCGCATTTTGCTCCTCCGATCCGCCATTTTTTGCGGTTTCCAACTTTGATACCGTGAGTTGAAAACAATTGGGGGAGAGGGAGGAGAGGGTTGAAGCGATAAAAAATAAATATCGGGAATGGAACTCGATAGTTTCCTCTTCGATTTATCGAATTTCGCAGAAGAAGAAAGTATTTTGGTGATCGTAGTCGAGTCGTTGCTCTCACTTTCTCTCTTTCTTTGCTCTCGAGCAAAAGTATTTTCCGCGTAATTCCGGGGAATTAATCGACGAGATATTGTTCGAGGAGCTTTCCCTCCTCGAGTTCTTCTCTCGAAAAATATCAAATTCTCGTCCAATCTCGATATCGAATCGTCGAAGAAAGTATGGTGGTAGCGATTCCTCGATTCAATTTCTGCATCCTCGATCGTCCCGGCTAATTTCTGCCGAGCAGTCTAAAAGGAGGAGTCGAAAGCGAGCCGTTTATCCGGCGAGCGTGGAAGGGGGATGAAGCGAGAGGGGAGAGACGTGGAATGAGACAGTGGGCCCGAGTCTGTTTATTCAGTAACGAGGACGGAACCGGCCGCTTCGGTTCGGCATCGATCCGGCGTGGACGCAACTCTGAAAAATCCTCCTCCTCGTCGTCGATACGTGAGTTTTAATTCCGCCCCTGTTTTGTCCGCGAAATCCACCCTTTTGGCCTTCCTTGCACCTCTGAAATTTAAGATTAATTTCGAATAAATTCGAATTTCGTGTTATTTGAAATAGATGCATGAAAGAGGCGAGGAATATTATTTCTAGACTGATTTCTAGAATCAGAACGTATTCTTATTCTTCCTACTTGTGCTTGAAAAATTGAAAACTCGAAGAATCTTTGAGAACTTCGCTTGAGAGCCAGGAAAGATTTCCGCTTGGATATAAAAAAGGATGTGTGGAAATTATATCGAGCGTTGCCTCCCGATTGCTTCCTGATCGATGAGATTTCGGTTTTTAAACGTCCCCGAAAATCGAGGCTTTTGTTTTCATTTCTTCGCAGTAAAAAATCTGCACGAATTTCCGGCAGACCGTTCGCGACGAGAACCATTGTCGATGATTAAACAGGATTGATGGATCTGGCGACGGGCAATATTGGAAAATATCGATTATCTCGGCTTTTGTTGGAATTAAAAAATTTCTTGTCCTCGAAACTGGAGTCAAACGGATTTGTTCAACGGATCCACAGCAAGGTCCTCGTTTCGAGATAACGAGGGCCGAGTTGAAAAGGATTTTTTCGCGTGCAAATAACTTCCGCCTCGAAATCGGCGAAAGAAATTCCGCGCCGATCTTTCTGTAACGATCGAATTGAGACGGACAACGAGTTGGAGAAACTATATTCTCTACCAATAAATTCTTATTCGATAAAAATTAACCCAAGATGCGTTGATGAAAAGAGATTTGGATATTCCAAGGGGTTGTAAGAAGAAGAAGAAGAAGAAGAAACTGACGGATCTGAAATTCCAAGACCTCGAAGCATATTCCCTTCTTCTCTATCGAAACATGTGTACCTATTCCTATTCCATGACCGCTGCAAGAAAACATTTGTATCTTAATACAGAAAGAGATTTTTAGCTAATTGGATTCGTAAAGTAAACGATGCAGAAAGTCGTGAGTATTGAAAAATGGGTTGTATCTGTACATTACATACAAGAAATTCTAAAGGAAATTTCAAAAACGGTCGTTTGACCGCGGAGCGATCATGATTGAACCTTTGGTTGTTGCACCTTTCTTCCTCTTTTCTTCTCTTCACTTTAAGCGACGACACGACTCGGAATGTTTTCAGAATAGAACGCGAGAGACGGAAATATTGATAGGCGCTAGCCTGCCAAGAATGTCACGGCTAAGAGGCGGCTAGATCTTGGATCCGTGTGCGGAGAGAGAATTTTTTCCTCAATGGATCCCGCGCGTATCTATGTATAGCGGCGATTCGCGCGCCATTTCCACTTGGACAGAGACAAATTGACCGCGTATATTTAGCGGGTTGGTTTCCACGGGACGCCAGAAACTGAGATGCGTATATGCTCCTTTCGAGAATCAGGGGTTTCGCGAGATGGCGAATCGAAAACAGGCTCGTCTTCTCTGTTAAAGAAATTTATTCGTGGGATCGGGCGAGATTTAGAATTTTGAAGCTGTCGATAATTGTGGATCAAATTCGTGAGTGAAATAAGATTACACAGCAATGATGGAAGGCATATTGCGAAAAGAATTGGAGAAACTTGTGTTAATCCCAGTCACGAGTATAATGTGATGCCAAGCTTCCAGTCGCTTTTCAAGATGACGCAACGTCGCGTAACTCGTACACACGTTTTTATTGCGAGCCGAGTCAATAACGATATTTCAAAGCGGTAAATCTTGGGACAAAAGTCGCAGGAGGTCGTAAATCGAGTCCATCGAATTAAATATAAAGATGGGTCGCCACCTGGTGACGATTTGCATAAATACACCGCTTTCTTCGCCAATTATTCCCACCCGTTTCGTGGTTGATCGAAAATCGCTCTCTCACATTCTCCATAAGGACGGATCGAGAAATGGTCGAATCGTGTAACGAGTCGGGAGAGGAGGGAGTTCGTTTCGCGATGGTTGGCAAAGCTCGGAGCTCTCTTGACTTAACGACGAACAGAAATATTGGCGGGATCCTCGAATCAGACTTCCAAATCCGCTCGAAATCAGGAATGGTTCATCTCGGTGGAAATTGGAATTTTTCACCGAAAATCGTTCAAAACCGGCGTCAATCATCCCCGTTGATCTTTATTCTCTCTCGTTTTCGAGATGATGAACTTTGGAGATTAATAGGTTACGGCGTGGAGGTTATCGGGGTAGATTCTACTTTCATTGTAGACCGAAACAGCGATACAAACCGTGGATAACGTTTCATCATCATCATCATCATCGTGATTTCGTTATTGAAAGTAGCGAGTCGGATCGATCATTGAGCCGTGGAAATTCGAGAAACCCGTGCGATCACCTCCCATTCCATTCGTTCGATTAACGATGAGTCATTGTTGTGCCGTGTTCTGCTGGGGAGGAAATCCGAGCGATGCCAAGTACGACGAGTAAACAACGAGTCCATCGAGGAATCCGTCTGTTTCTTGAGAGACGAAAAAGAAGAAAGAACGAGGGAGGAATTTGCATTCGAGTTGGAGTTGGTTAATTGTGCGTTGTGCGCGAATAAAACGGAGGAGGAGGAGGAGGGGGGAAAATGCGAGCAACCTGTTCGCATAATGAAATCTCGAAAGTCTCGAAACGGAAGTTTGAGGTTAGGTTTTTCCATTGTAGCCAGTTTGCCAGATTCGAGAAAAAGATTGTAATTTCGAAGAAGGGGAACAATGGGGAATCGAGGAAAATTTTTGGACAATGATCGTTTATTTGTCGAGCGAGGATCATCGTCGTTTGTCATTCGTGATAAAAAAAACTTTTTCTCTTCTTGGAGTGGAGAAGGGATCGACGAAGTGGAAGAACAAAGTTGGAAAACCTCTCCTCTCTTCCGTTTCATCTGATAATTACGGGGGGATCCAAGAGAGACTTTTAATCGAAAGAATTTAAAATATCCTCCCGTCTCTAACGAAATTTAATCGTTAATCGTGGACGGAGGAGGATCGTTAAGAGAAATTCATTTCAACGGAGAATCATCAAACTGTTGGATGAAGTGGAAAAACAAAGTTGTGTGCGGTTAATTAAACGGGAGTTGTTCTGTTTCTCCTCGGATCGTCGAGAAGTCGAGGTGAATTCGGCGAGTTTTCCGCTCGAAATTCGGTTGTTTTCGATTCGAAGCGATAATCGAGAGAGATCAGAGAATTAGGGAAGAAAAGAGGTTATGAATTTTCCTGTCCACAAACTTTCCGCTCCAGAAAGGGGGGCCGTGTTCCCTTCCCGAAGTTGGAGATTGCGGAGGGAAGAAGATTGAAATTTCGTTTCCTCGAAAGTAGATTCGTCCAATTTCTATTCTTCACGGAATTTGACTTTCGAGGAACAGCAGGGGGAAAGAAAAATAAAATCGAATTCCCCAACTAACCTCTTGTAACATGTAAAAGTAATTTCCAAGCGAATATTTTCACAAATTTTCAAAAGTTATCTGTAAATTAACCGATTTCTTGAAAAAACGAATCGTTACACGCATCGGTCGGGGATACGGCTATTCAAACATTTGTCAATTTTCTTTATCCAAACACAATATCTAAACCCAAAGGAGTAGAGAAACGAAGGAGAAAGAAAGGTTTGCAACCACGTGAGAAAATCGTACGCATCTACGTCATATATTCAAACATTTGTCAATTTAAAAAACTGAAAAATTGCGAAAAATTCTTTATCCAAGAAACCCAAAGAAGTAGAAGAGAAACGAACGAAAAAAGGAAGCTTTCCCATTCGCAATCACGCGAAGAAATCAGCTATTCAAACATTTGTCAATTCAAAAAACTGAAAAATTACGACTCCTTTGTCATTGTAGAATAAACTCAAAGAACGAAAAGAGTCGCACGAATAATTATCTCGAATCAATCAATCCTAATCTGAACATCCCAAACCGAAGAATCGATCGATGTCTCCGTGTTCTCAAGTGCCGCCTGTGCAAACTCGTTCACGGGATTATTAAAAGGCACGTAATGGGGGACGTGATCGCGGTTATTAATACAGGATCGCGGGGTACCCCGACTTAATCGCGGAAGGTAAACAACGCCCGAAACTTACATCCGCATGCATAATTAATGGTTTGCACCGATTTCGATAGGTGGAATTATGCATGAGCTTGGCTCGCCTTTTCTGACGGCTTGTTTGTTGCCCTCCTTCTGCGTCGAATTCGTTACGATCTTCGTTATTCTTGAGACAGAGGATGGAAGGAATATGCGCAATATGCGTGCTTTATTAATTTAAATTTGATCAGATTTGGAATATTCGTAGGAACAAGACCCAATCAAATTTTGATCATCATTGTTTCCAACAGACGTAAAAGTGTTGTCGACCACAAGGAAAAAGTTTCCATTTCCAATCTTCTTAATTTCGATCGCATACGAAGAGAGCGCGACACGTGGATATTGAAACTCTCTCTCTCGAAGCTTCTCGCCCACGTCGCGATAACGAAACATGTAAATCTGGCCGTGACTTGGTTGTTCACGGTGATTGGAAAACTCGACGGAGCGTGCCGTCTGGTATAATGAAGTGCCATATCACGCAACAAACAGATCGATGCATCGCCCACGCGGTTTTATATTCTCGAGGAAATTCCACGAGAAATTAAAACGAAACGAATATTGGATCGTCATTTTGAACAGGTAGCGTTCACTCGCTCTCGAAACTGTTCGAAATCCAACTGGCTGTTCTCGAAACGAAGGATTTATACTTGTTTTTTTCACCCTGTTTTCCACGACAATTCGATCCGTAATCGATCTAAAATCGTTTACAGTAGAATTTTATTTTATTACTAAAATTCACGTATATTCGCATATAACCCACCACTGATGAATCTCCACGACGATGCAAAAAAAAAGAAAAGCAAATTCAAGTAATAAGAATTCGATCGAAGCAAACTCGATGAACTTCATAATTAAATAATTTGTATATATACGCATATTGTTCGATGAATTTTTCTGATCTTATTACACCGCATTATCCTCGTCGAGGAA